GTGGTTTCCAAGTAATTATATTTTTTTGAAAATGAGAGACAAACATCACCTATAAGTGAAAAAGAATTATTTTTACATCAGTGATTATTTTTTGTCACTCAGATTGACTTCCAATATCATCTACTCTTTGGTCTCCTAAGTTTGTTTATTCTTCTTGTTCTGGTACAACACGCTAACGCGACATTTGTATAACACCCACTTCCATGCTAGAAGAGTAGGTTCTCTGGACTGGAGATGGGACCTATTTTCATATCAGATGTTAGCTGGGATGATGTTTTGAGACTTACAAGTGTGAGCCTTTGATGGGAGGGGTACAAAAAGTGGGTAATTCTGATGACTGAAGTGGAAGTTTTGTTCCAGCAAAGTAGAGAAAATCCTAGTGTCAACTTCCAGCCTCTGTCTGTGAGCATAAGGGCATGACTAATCCCACACAATGCCTACCAGAAAGCAGGACAGAGACACCAGCAACATTGAAAACCACACCAGGTGCGGTTTTATGTTCAAATGGAGCTGATGGTCATTTCAACCTGAGCTGATCAAGGTTTGCTTGGTTCACGTATCTTCAACTGACACCACCTCTGCACCACATGCTTTACATTCATGTCTCGTTTGTTGTTAATGCCCCCATGTTCATTTTTTCTCTGTGGGGTAACTCAAACTTGTTTCACTGTTCTCATCATTTTTACGTCTGATTTCCATGGCATCAAACGAACACATTTTTTCAGCTCCCACATTCACCTGAAACCTGGGTTACATTTTCAACCCTGTCCAGATACAGTATTTTTAATGCCAAATTTAAATATATCAGGTTTATTCTTTGTTACTTTCCACGATTTTCCTTCTACTGACATAAAAATATTGATTCTTCAGTGAAGCATTATTTTTGTTAACACATTGGTTTTGGTGGTTTTCTCATCAGATATATTATCTTGACATTGGTGTATTTGCTGTATTCAAGCATTTCTGCTTCTTTAAATGGCTTCATGCTTCACATTTGTGCCCTCAGTAAACTTAAAAAAATTTGTTTATAAATCAGAAATTTATGGTAAAATGCATATGAAAACACAAGGAAAAAATTATAGTTTTAGGGAGAACAGACCCTGATAATGACCTCTTAAATATTTGTAAAGATAGCCCTGGGCATCTGAGCCCACAAAATAGTTTATAATACAACAGCTTGATTACATAATGATACTTTAGTTTTAAAACGTATGATCTTTCTGTTTATGGGAAGGCATAATAGGCTCCTTTGAAACACAATAGTTTTGTCCTGTACATAACTGATTTTAAATGAAAGGGCTAACTAAAAATTGCCTTTCTTCAAGTCTGTACTTCACTTTGTTGTTGAATCCAGCACAATGGTTTCTTTTACAAAACTCTACCAGGCCTGGGGACCACACCTATTTCAGGATACATTAATTGTGAAAGTTTTATGGGTTTCTATGCAGAAAGTTACCTAGTACCATTTAAAATTATATGTTTCAAATTCTAAATCTTGTTAAAAAACAAAGAGAGAAATTCCTTCATACCACCACCACTACCCCCACCCCCCACATATGGAGAATTTTCTTGTATATTCAGTTTGATGATAGTCAAATGTAGATTAAGCTTAGGCAGAATGCAATGTGATTTGGAAGAGGGATTTGTTCTGTGCAACAGAAAAGAATTATTGAGAAAATTTAATTCAAGACAGTTTTAAAAGTGTCAGGACTAGTTCAACCAATATCAAAGTCTAGTTGTTTGGTTGTGGGTTTTTTTGTGTTTTTAGTGTTTTTCTACAATACCTGGTTCCAGCTCAAACTGCTACTGGAGCTGATACTGATCTGCATTTGAAATTATTTCCATTTTGGCTAGAAGCATGAGTGCAAGAAATGTTCTTACATAGGTATTCTTCTAACATCTGTGCAGTTACAGAGAGTGACTATAATGTTCGTTATTGTTCATGATTCTCAATTAAGCCTGAGTTCAGTTGCCTTTCTCATTAGGAGTACCTGCATAATTTTTTAAATTAAAATAGTTAAAATTTGCCCATAATTTGGCAGCTAATCTGCTACATTCTTGAGTAAGGCCCTTTCCTACGTTTTTTCATACCATTACAAAATTTAGGCTGGAAATACTGAAGTGATTATCATGCTTTTGGCTATCATTTCTAATTGTGGGTCCATCCTGTTCTCAGGTTCCTCATTAAAACAAACAGGAACACAGCTGGAAATTGGGGTACAAAGCAGATAAAATCCTTGTTCTCCTCTAGGCCTAAATCCAGTGATTCTTTCTTGGTAACACCCACTCCAAAATACAAGAAACTCCACCTTTACTGAGCAGGGGTTGGACTTTATCACAATGAATACTTTTTCTGAAATGTTCTTTACTACTATACTTAAGTGCCAGCACCAGATAAGAAACTCTGCAAGATTTTTATTTCATCTTGTTCCTTCAGTATTTATAGCCTGCCATGAATAAACAATGATAGTAGTGCAGTGATGTTTTTATTCTTGATAGAGGTGTCCTTAAAAGTCAATTTGCTTTGAAAATTGTTCACAGAATCATGGCATTAGAACTATAAAGACATATTTCTCTCTTTTGCACCACATTGGATTTCCAAAATAAATTGTTAACAGTCCATCTAAGATGATGTGGTCATGAAGAGGATGTCCAAATCCACCAGTTTGCATTGGTTTGGTTTGGCTTAACTTTTAAAGTTCTTGGAGCAGGAAGTTGATGGCACGTGAACACTATAATTCGCTTGATAGTCTTGGATATTTTTTTTTTCTTCTCTGCCATATTGCAGAGTACACAAAAGAAATGCTAACCAGACCTCATCTCTGGGTCAAAGGAAATTTATTACGATAATAATGAACTTGTATACTCCAGATCATTTTGCAAGATGCAACATCTACCAATTTGTCATTTTTAATCTGATCTGGATAATTTATGCAGGTTCCAAATCAATTATTAATGTGAGACATAGTTATTTCACCAAAAGTGACATGTATTGCTTTTACTTCATATATCCAAAAAGGTTAACAACTCAATTGAGTTAGACCCAAACAAAGCTAACACTCTGTTTGGGGGATTTTTTCTTTGATTTTTCCTCTTTACTTTCTGGTTTAGACTTCAATTTACATGATGTAATTCTTAATTCCTTACCATGAGAGTGCCACATTCCTAGTCTGGGAATTACTCTTGTGCTCTCAGTCTCTCATTTCTAAGACAGAATGAGACTCTTTAGATTTAAGATAAAACTGCATTACTTGCTTAAACATTTTAGTTATTTCCCTTTGCTCATACGTTATATATCCATAGATGGATAAATTCCAAATTTTTCTGACTACCAAATCCTTTTTGATTTCTCTCATATAAACTTTTTCTTTATCCCTCTGTAACCAAAGAGGATCTTCATGAAATGAATCATCACTCTCAGTATTATGTTGCAGGACACTCACAGGTGTAGAGTAGAAAATTGTCTAATAAAAGACATAGATAACCAGTGCATAATATGGGATTATTATTCATCTTTAAAATAGATTATTTAACATAAACCAGATCAGGGTGCTCCTAGAGAATAGACATAAGAACTTTATTTTTTGTAGAGAGAAAGCAAACATAAAGAAAAAAAAAAAAACAAAACCAAACTTCATTTGATTTCAGTCTGTATCAAAAAGTAAATCTTTTAAAATGTTTCAACATAGTGAGGCATACCTCCAAACAGTCAAGTCCACTGGCTATGCCATTTTTTTGCCAAAGCATGATGCAAGTATCCTTGAAATAAGGACTTGAAACTCAGTTTCTTCCTATTATACAACAGGGCTTCTAGGCTTTTAGACTTGTTTTCATTCTTTCCTATAGATTCAGGCTTACCTTTTCCCCACCCCAAATCATGAAAAAAAATCTCCCTAGATACGTTGTAATGAAATATTTCCTGAAAATTTTGGGGTTTGACAAATTAGCATTTTCCAAGAGAAAGGCTTTTTTTAAGATTGCTTGCCAATAACTTAAAACTTGTAGTTCAAATGATGAGTAGCTTTAAACAAAAACTTGCTTTGTGTAGATTCTCTTAGCTTCTTATTTACTTTTAAGTCTTAAATGTGAAATGACAAAGCACAGTTTAATGTTTTCAGTTTTGAAGCATGAAGATTCAGTTATTGTTGCACAACAGTTTATTCTCCCAGAAAAGGAGAGCAGTTCCCATGTGCTTCAAAATGCTACAGCTATGCAAGCAGGGCTGGAAGTGCTATTTTAAACAGTCATATCAGCAGAGCTTGCTGTAGGAGATAATATGTCACAAAAGGGAGTGTGACATCTAGTTTCACCTAGAAGATAAACTTTGAGTAGATATGCAGGGAGAAACAAGACTGTCAGGTTGTCCTTGAAAAGAATGGCCTATATTAATGAAGAAATGTACTCCAGGGCATATGCTATTTGGGATATTTAATTTCATCTTCAAACTTGTCTGATCTACTATGAAGAATATAGCAGAGAAATGGTAGTTGTGTGTAGTCTCATGCATGTCATGATTTCAGAGTAGGCATCTCACTGCTTTACTTTCAGAAAGGTCGCAGCCTCAGAAATTCATGTCTGGAAAACCCAGGTTGCCGACTGAGAAATTTCCCCATCACTATCAATATAAACACGCCACATTTATGCAGGGCTAGCGTTGCATCGTGTGTATCCCAAACAGCCCTCCTCCACGAGCATGAGAGCTAATTCACTCTTTCTTTCCTGTCACACTCAAAACCCCTTGCAGAGCTGTATTCTCCTGACAGAATTACAAGATAATTATAGTTATGTGTTTTGTATTCACTTAACTTAATCTACCACTTTTATTTTTCATTTCTGTTTTAATCAGGCAGGAGTCACTTCATTGCTGTCAGGTGGATTATTTTTCAGTCATTCACTACCTTACTCTTCTTTAGACTTGTTAGAGCTCTTCTGGCTCCCTGACAGATGCATAAAGAAAAATACTAATATGATCTAACATGAAATATGTGTTTCTCTTTCAGGTCTAGATGTTGATGGAATATACAGAGTTAGCGGCAATCTGGCAACAATACAGAAGTTACGATTTGTTGTCAATCAGGGTAAGTGATTCCTCCACCCTGGTAATGTTTTGTTTAGTACTTAACTGTCTCAGATGACAGTATTTCAGAATCTGCTATACATTAGTGGCATAGAATGATGAGCCATGTTTTCAAAAAGAGAGGAAAGGGAAGGTAGAAAGATATTGCACAGAGGGAAATGTCAGCTAGGAAAGAAGAAAAAGAGCAGAATAAGCAGAGAAAAATAGTAGTTAAACAGGAATTGAGAAACAAACTAACCCATATGTAAAAACCAAAGAATAAAAGTGAGGGGAAAAAAGTAAAAAGATTAAAAAAGGAAAAATAGCAGATTGTTTGGATGTTGAAAAGTAAACAAAACCAGAAGTAGAACAGGGATCCAAAGGAAACCAGCAAAAGAGAAAAAGGTGCTGAAAAGAACTGAAAAGGAAATACTAAAAGTAGAGTACTGCCTCTGTCAAAGGCAGTGGAGAATTTACCACTGATTTCAAAGGGCAAAGATTTTATCCCAGAAAATGAGAAATTGAAAGATTAATAGTTTGGGGACCTGAGAACCAGAATTAGAACCAACTTGTACATATTTCCTGAAAGTATTTCCACATTTACAAAAGAACATTTTTTACATTTGTGGCCTAAATGAATTTAACATTGATCAATAGATACTGTTACAGGTGTGGAAGCTGATATTGGTGGCTAGTTAGAATAAATGACAAATGCAGTCACCTCTTTGAATAGTTTACTACTCTTGGCAACAACTAAGTGTCTCCAGATTTAATAATTCGACAAATAACAATGATGATATTGAACCTCCTGATACTATTTAATGAGAAAATAAAATTAAGCTTCACAGAAATTAGGAAAAATCCCAAATCTTAAGCAGCATTAAAGACTCTTGAATTAATGAAGTATAATGTGAAGCTCCAGTAATATTTTCTCCTACTTTTTAATAACTCTTTTAAAGTTACCTGGAGACTCTTACTAGAACTGCTAAATATTGTGTATTGTATATGGTTTCTTGGAGATTATAGCTGTTGGAGAGCAATTTCCTCAGGTAGTTTTGTACTATACATAAAAGAAGACTTTTGACTCAAAAGTTCTCATTAAATTGAAATATGCGAGACATAACCATATTCTCACCTTCAAGCCTCCATTTACATCTTTAGGGAAAGTTTCAGGGGAGCAGTAGGTGTTTGCCACCTCCACAGCTGCTCTAAATTAGACTTCTTTTCAGCTGAAACTGGAGGATGAAATGTGATTTATGAGGAATCAGTATTGATGCCAGTAAACTCAGTGAAACTGAATAAATCATCGTTCATCAATCACCCTCAAAGTTTTGACTCACTACTGGGCTTCACTTAGATTTCTAGTTGTTGGGTATTTGTGTGTTGATAATGCTGTCTCTGTTGCTTTTCAAAAGACTGTACACTGTCTTTTGTTTGGAGACAGAGGGGCAAAACCAGGATTTTCTATCCTTCTTTACTGCCTAGGATCATTGCTCAGGAAAAAATGTATCATAAAAATAATGGCCCTGTCTATCATGTCTCATGGCATCCAAAGGTTAACACACTTTAGGTTAACATTACTTAAGTTTTCACCTAAAACAGATGGGCTGATGCTGTAAAGCTAGACAGAAGTCTAAACTGGCATTTTGCAGCACAGAGGTACCAGGCACCTTTTTCTGCTGGTTTATAACACTTTAAAATTAATATATAAAGATGAAGTCAGTAGTACATGAAAGCCACTCTGACAATGGCATGTGCAAGAAATCTGCTGTTGAGGGACAAAAGAAAATTCAAAGAAAACTATTATCCCTAGAGAACTATGTTATCTTCTTATCAGTTGTGATAATTACTGTTTCTTATGTTAGTCTTTATAGATACAATTAGGGTACTTTTACGTTTTTATCATAATGAAATAGATTTTCAATGGGAAGTGTTATTTTCCACCTGAGCACCCCTTACATGTCCTTTAATATCCCAGCAGTCAAAATGCCTAGCCTGTACTTTCCTCAGGACTTTGCAAATGCATGAAGAAATGCCAAGGTTCAACTCCTGTAAACCCTAATGCCACTTTGCAGTCCTCAAGGACGGCACTAACACAAAATGAGGGAGAATGGGAGAGTCTAACATTTTGGTCCCCAAAGAATACTCCAGTAATTTTTAATCAAAATATTCAAGAAGTAACACAGACACAAAGAATGGTTATAAGATAACAGGCCACTGTTTCAAATGTTTCAATAACATCCTTTCTCTCTGCTGGGTTTCCTGCAAGCACGAAACAGCCCACTTTGTCACAGTGTACCTGCAAAAAACACCATTTCTTTTATAAAAAATGTTTGGGAATATGGGGATAAGAAAATTTATTGTGTTTATAATGTGTCTTTGGAAGGACAATAATAGTTTCCACACAATGTCCCCAAGAGCCTGACATCCCCTGTCAATTGGATGTTGTGGACAGCAGCAGTTTCTGGCTGTTTCATGAAGTCACAAATATTACTAGGAAAACTGGTATGTGCTCCCAAACTGCTTATTTAGCAGTCCCCTGAAGCTCTGTAGTGGGATTATGATTAATAATGCACTCTCGATGCATCACTTTTGGTAATTATTATTGGCTCAATCCCTGTACCTTCATTTTTCTGTAGTTAACATTGAGAAAGCGGTATTTATATACATGTTTTTCCCATTGAGGTTTTTTGTTATTATTTTAGTTAAAGTTTAATTTAATTATAAATGCAAACAAATGTTCTGAAAAAGCCTGTTTGCACTGTAGAGGTTGACAATGCAATCAGTTCTTATACAGGCCAAATACTTAATGGGCTCTTTCTTCCTGCTTGCTTTGCCATTGTGTTACACCTACATTTATAGGCTATAAATAATATGTATCACATTGAAAATTAAAGATCACAGAAAACACTCTAGGCTGCTTGCCATATTAAAGTATTTTTAATTAGAATAATCATTAATTAGAATATAGCAAAGCTTTATTTGGCTCCTTTTCCTATACTGTTAATGTCATCTGCAACATCAAAAATGAAATAAGAGAGAACTGGTGAATATGAAAGGAAAAGAAATGAAGATTTGACAGCTTTATCATTAAGGAAGATATCAGAATAGTAAAAATCTAAAAAGACCCTTGAAATTCTAGATTTTTGGGGATTAGGATAGGTTTATAGTAAAAACTTATGCTTTGTATCTTTTTAAATTCTCTAAATACACTTTTGTGTTTCATTCTTATTTCTTGAGCTAGGCATCTCCTGAAGAGGGCTTTGACCTTGCCACCACGAGCATCAGCAGAACAAACTACCTTATTTACTTTTTTCCTTTCACGGAGTTTTCTTTTTCTATAAAAGTCTATTGATATCACACCTTTTTGCTTCTGTGCAACAAGATTATCTTTTGTCTGTGATTTATTTTCCCATTAAGAGCTGAAAAGATCATTTGATCATAAGAGGACCAGGCTATAACATCTCTCGGCACTTTCGAAACTCTAAGTCATCATTTTTCAAATCACTGAATAAAAGCAGTAAGAGCTGTTTGGATCAAACTGATATCAGGAAATTCATACCTTTCTTAGTCTACAAGCACTGAAAGAATTTTGGTTTTAGAAACTAACTTCCAAGTAATTCAGTATTTCAGTCTATGAACCTATAATAAAGGCTTCTATTGTAGCCTAAGACATTAGACAGAAATGTCTATTCCTCTTATGCTTTCTGTATTACTGGTTAAATCTAATAGCTGCAATCTTAAAATTTAAAAACAAACAAAAAAAAAAAACTAGTGAGCAATTTGTTATGGATTTTATGAAAAATCTGGGGGACTTTTGTTGGTTTGAAACAAGGTCCAGTAATACATTTATTGTTTTATTTTATTTGCACATATTTACAAGGATATACTTGAAATTCACACCTGTAGGAAAAAAGGGTAAGGTACTATAAATGGGTTTTTTAAGCCATGTAACATGTGCTGGCTAGGGTTTAAGAACGCTACTGAAATGATCAGTTGTTTTGACCTAAACCCCCAGGCCCATGGGAAGGGGTGGGGAGAGTCATAGGTGGGGCTGCTCAGGGCTGCTAAGGTACCCCTGCATGAAAATGGAGACAGGTGGAAGACGCTTTTCAAGATCTGATAAAATATGCCAACTCTGAAGCAAAAAAGTGCTTGAGAAATAAAAGCAAGAAAAGGGAAGTCTCTTTATCCACAAGGATGTTAGCTTATGACCGTGAATTTGTGTGCTTTCTGCTCTGGTTGAACCTGTTGTGTTGATGTACACTGTGATATAATGGGGTAAGGACATTGTGCTAAATTCAGCAGGTTCCTTGCCCTGCTTGTGTGCATCTGTCCCAGCAATCCTCTATTCCCTTTTGTGCTTGAAGACCAGAGATACCTGGATAAGGAGGTAGAGGTTTTCTTCTTTGTGCTTCCTGTGGTAATCTGCTGGGTATCTGGAAAGGCATTCATTTTTTATGACTGTCAAACAAGCAGTTTTTGTGGGTACTAAATTATAAAGGGTTCATAACACATTGCTGAAACACTAGTAATCTATCCTAATGCATATATATTCAGGGAAACTAACCATAGAAATACAAATTTTAATACTAATCGGTTCGTTCAGTAAGTGTTGGCTCATACATAATACAAGAGTTCCTAATTGTCTTTATAGCCAATGCTTTGTTTGCAAAATGCTTGGTATTTGCTGTACAGATGACCTTTGCATCCGTTATTTTGTTTGGAATACCTTGCACATTAAACAAACACCACGTACAGTCCAAAGGTCAATTACTGTGGTTTTATGTGCTTGGTTACTATACTTATGTACCAAAAGGGCAGAGAGGGTTGCAGGGGGATAGGGAGAAATATGACTTTTTAAGAAGGCTAAATATTTTGTTTCTGCAGAAATGTATATTTCTTATGGAACATGGAAAGATATCTGAATTGGTGACTACATTAGGGGGAAAAGTGAATTTAACCTTACCCTGATGTTACTTGGAGTTAATAAAAGATATTTTGGAAAAAAGAATTAAAGTA